CCCCGGAGCGGGAGGGCCTGGGTGCTCGGTGGGCCGCGGGGCCGTGGCGTGAGGGGCGGCGGGAAGGGGCGAGGCGGTCCCGGGCGTGTCTGGCCGCGGTCTGGTCAGCGACCTCGCCCCTTTGCTAAAGTTTTTCTCGTCAGCTTCTGGCACCTGTGAAAGTTTGCCTCGGCTTGCGCAGGCTCTTCTGGGATGTCTTCTTCCTGGAGCTTGAAGGCCAGGTAGGGAGGTCAGGTGGGCAGGTTGCCTTCCAGCTCTCTGGACTGCGAAAACAAACAGACCAGGAATTCCTCGCGCCCTCCCCGCCCCGCCCCGCCCCGCCCAGCCAGGCAGCAGCCTACCCTCCACTTTTAAATAGCAGACTAGAACATTCTAAGACATTTCATGTGTTTGAAGTATGTCTTGGAAATACCATGCCCTTCCGTTTATAGAAAAATATGTGAGTGGGAAAGGAGTTATTGCTCTTTGTTTTCACTTCATGCATTTTTTTTTTTTTGGTTGTGGATCTGCCCAAGAAAGTTCTAGGACTTTATATTGATGTTGCATATCGTGTTGGTACCCATGTTTTCCTGAAACATAAGCTATAAACTGCAATCAGTGGAAAAGTTTATACTGTTGGAGTTAAAGCGAGTGAAAAAAGACAAATTTCTAGCTTCTGATAAGTATAGATATTTCTAATGTGAACCTCTTATCCGACCAAATCTTTGGGTATTTTTCTTTTTCACAGATTTATTTCCTATCAACCACTGATGAAGATATATCTGTGTATGTGCTGGAGTGACTGCCAGAACTCCCCTTTATTGGCAAGAGACAGTCCATTTGGTTCACTAATTTTTGTTTTCCCTACTGCTTTGAGCTTTACTGTAATGGCTGAAAAACTTGGAAAATAAAATGAACGTGCTGTGGTCTTGAACATAATTTTTTTGAGGAAAAATTAAAGTGCCAGAGTGAAAGCCACAATGGCATCCAGAGAGAGGCTCTTTGAACTTTGGATGCTTTATTGTACAAAGGTAACTGTTTTCCTTTTTTATTTCTGTGCTTTAAATTACTTGATTATAAGATGTTGTGCCTATTCTTATTATCTCTTTACTCAGTGGAGAATAATGTATTCGTACTAACAGTCCCAAACTTAAGAACATGTAAGGAATATTCTGTTCCAACTGTTGTGTGTGTGTTCCTGAGTTCCTGTTCTGGGGCTTGAACTCAGGGCCCAGGCTCTACTCCTGAACTTTTTGTGCTTAAGGCTGGCACTCTACCACTTGAGCACCACTTCTGGCCTTTTCGGTTTATGTGGTACTGAGGAAATGAATCCAGGGCTTCAGGCCTGTAAGGCAAACACTACCACTAAACCACCTTACCAGACCTGTTTCCTACTTTTTCATATTTGATTATATACACAATATTGGCACACTATTAAAAAATTTAATGTATGTTTTTTGATACTTTAATCTCATAATTATGTAAGTAAAAATAGCATGTCCTAAATAAAATTCCTTGCTGTTATTTTCTCCTCTAAGTGGGGGTAGTAAACATTTTTGTGAGAAAGGTCATTGAACACTTTTTGGCTTTTTTAGTTGGTCATGGGGCTTGAACTCAGGGCTTGGACTGTGTTCACTAGCTCTTTTGCTCAAGGGTAGCACTCTACCACTTTGAGTCACAGTGCCACGTCCAGTTGGAGTCTAAAGGACTTTCCTGCTTGGACAGGCTTTGAACCTTGATCCTCAGATCTCAGCCTTCTGAGTAGCTAGGATTACAGGCATGAGCCACCAGCACCCTGCTTCATTGAACACTTTTCTCATTAATTTTTTAAATTGTATATGAAAGTTATTAAGGTGCTTACTACACTGTGTTAACCACTTAAGAGCTTTGTTTCATTGACCCTTCACTAGTAGTTCTGTGTATATTGTAATTACACTTCTTACTGATGAGAAAACTTATAGAAGAATGAGCCTAGAACTCAATGGAGCCTGACTTAAAATTTTTTGTTTTTGTCATTTAGAAGTAAATTTCTTCTTTTATGTGAGTTTTTAACATGGTAGGTTTGATTTTAGGTTTTTGAGAAGGGTAGTACTTAAAAACATGCTTTTTAAGTGGGGAGCTATAGTACTACTTTGAAAGTATTGGCAGGAGTCAGAGGAACACCCTTCATCTACTAAAGTTAACTTAGGTCTGTGTGGTCAAGTGCTTGTCAGACTCTATTTTGGCATCATCCCTTCAGGCTCCATTTTCTTTCTTTCTGTCTGGCTGCCTATCTTCCTTTTTTAATACTTTCAGCTGTTTAAACAAAAGCAAATTATTCTTTAACAATAATCTCATTTGTCTGTACTATTGAATTTTAGAGGTCACCCTGGAATGAATATTCTTTTGCTTCCTGGGTTTGATAGCTTTTATAATTACCAAAGGAATTATACCATGAAATATTTAATATGGAGTTTTAAAATTGCTTTTAGTCTTGTGTAATTTAATACCAGAAACATCTTTTTAAAAATAGCTCTTTAAATAAATAGGGAATCCAGTTTACCAGACACTTGAAAAGTCACTAGCATGCATTAGCCAACAATTAAAATGAAATTTTAGTGCGTGTTCAATAACTTGAGAATGATTTATTAAATGGTACCCTAAAACTACTTTCACTTAGTAAATGAAATTATATTACGTTATGTTTCTAGGTAGATTTAATTTTTTATCAAAGTAACAGTACCTATTGAAAAGAAGATAGTTTATTGGTACACATTGAATTTTATTCTTACTGAGTTTTAAATAAATATGAATCTTTGTTTTGAAACATTATTCTAAATAATGAAGGCCCTTTGCATCAAGGTTTTTGTTTTTTTAAATAATTAATTTCTATGTGATGCTTGGGAGTCACATCAGCTCTTGAATGTGCTAAGAACTGCATCTGTAACTCCTGTAGTCAGGACTATCTTTTGGACAGGAAGATAAATTCTATTTTTAAATTTAAGATGAAACCATTTATGTACTTACATGATTTATTTTAGATAATGATTTTAGTGTTTCATTAGTTCATAGATAGTATATACTAATTAGATAATAACCTTCTCTTCTACAGACTTCTTGACTCAGGTACCTATCAAATAAAAATAACTCTTCTGAGTCTGGATGATTGCCACATAAACAACTGGTCTCTGGACTTTCTAGCCTAATTCTACTACTCTAGCACTTGGTATCTAAAACTACCCTACTTCCCTACCCCCTCACTCCTTCACCTGACATACTTTTTTTTTTTTGTCAGTCATGGGGCTTGAACTCTGGGCTTGGGCGTTGTCCCTCAGCTCTTCAGCTCAAGGCGAGCGCTCTACCACTTGAGCTACAGTGCCACTTCCAGTTTTCTGGTGGTTTATTGGAGACAAGAGTCTCACCGTCTTTCCTGCCCTGGCTGGCTTTGAACCATGATCCTCAGATCTCAGCCTCCTGAGTAGCTAGGATTACAGGCGTGAGCCTCCAGCACCCGGCTTCATCTGACATATTTTTAAGATAGATAGATTTATTTATTTATTTAATTGGTCATGGGGCTTGAACTCTGAGCTTGGGCACTGTCCTAAGGCAAACACTCTACCACTTGAGCTATGGCACCACTTCTGATTTTCTGGAGATTAATTGAAGAGTTTCACAGACTTTCCTGCCTGGGCTGGCTTTGAACTGCAGTCCTCAGATAATAGCCTCCTGAGGAGCTAGGATTATAGGCATGACTCACCTGTGCCTGGCAGATATTTTTATTTTTTTAAACATTAAAAAAGTTGTATAATGGGATTTTATTGGTGATATTTTCATACATGTATAAAATGTACCCTGATCAAATTCATCTCCCTAATCATTCTTCTTCCTCCCTCTTTTGATGAATTTTAAGATAGCTTTTGGACTGTTTGTATTTTCTTATAAATTATTTTTTCTATAATTTATTTGTAAGAACTTTTCAGACTTCTTTGTGAGCTTATACACAGTCTTGACCCTGCTATTGTTTTTTTCCACTGTTTGAGTCAGTTTTTAAACAGAGTATGTGTACATTGTATTTTAGCAGGTACTGGTATTTGAACTCCAGGCCTCTCTTCCTCTCCCACCTCCATCATGGCTGGTGCTCTATAAGTCACACGTTAATTTCTGGCTTTTTGCAGGTTAGTTGGAGATATTGATAGTCTTCTCAATTTTTCTGTTTGGGCTGTCTACCTTAATCATCAGTTCAGCCTCTTGAACAGCTAGGATAATAAATGTGAACCATAGGTTCCCTTTTATCGTATTTCTCTTGCATGTTCTTTTTTGTTGTTTTTGAGGAAACCAGTCTTCACTTTAGAATTTTCTGTAATCTGAGTTTTACTAGATTATTTCTGTTTATTTAAGTGTTTTTCTCTTTTGGTGTTTTTTGGTGTGCTGGTCCTAGGGCTTAAATTCAGATCCTGAGCACTGTCACTGAGCTTTTGTGCTCAGTGGTAATGCTTACCACTTGAACCACATCTCCCTTCCAACTTTTTGGTGATTAATTGGAGATAAGAGTCTCAGATAAGCCAGACCCTGGTGGCTCACACTACCTAGCTACTCAGGAGGCTGAGTTCTGAGGATCACAGTTTAAAGCCAGCCTGGGCAAGGAATGTCCATGAGACACTTATCTCCAAATAACCACCAGAAAAACTGGAAGTGGCGCTGTGGCTCAAGTGGTACAGCAATAGCCTTGAGCTGAAGAGCTCAGTGACTGCACCTAGGCCCAGAGTTCAAGCCTCATGACTGACCAAAAAAAAAAAAAAAAAAAAAGTCTCCTCAGACTTTCCTGCTTGGGCTGACTTTGAACCTTGATCCTCAGATTTCAGCCTCCTGAGTAACTAGGATTATAGGCATGAGCCACTTGTACTCAACTGTTTGGGTGCTTTTAAACTGGTAGGTATAGAGGCTTAATTGATTCAGACTTGATTTGGAATATGGAAGGTTAGAATAATTCATAAATATAGCATTTATTAATAATTTTTGCCTATGAGCATTAATTCATTAGCACTTTACAGAATTGTAGTATTCTATTTTTTCTCATTTATTATTGAAACACAGAAATTGTCCTGTCATCAGTTATTGATGACAGTTACTTAAAAGGGAAGGCAGGCTGCATTCTCTTCGTTTGTTTTTAGAATAATGACCAGATTTACTAGTATTCTCCGGAAGTGACTAGTTGCCTTTCTTGACTATCAAGTTCATCTTAATGATTATAATTTTTAGAATGTCTACTATTTTGCTGCCCTACTTGGTTTCCTGTGTGTATAAAACATTACATACATACCTGATTAAAGAAGACATCTTTGAAGATTTATGAAGGCCTATTTTAGGGCAGAATCTTTTTTTTTTTTTTCAATTTGCACTGTGCTAACAGCATTCATATTGCACAGTATCAGTATTTTACAGTATCAGGAATAATGTACTATCGGAGCATTTTTTTTTTTTTTTTTGGTTGGTCATGGGCCCTGTACTCTGGGCCTGGGTGCTGTCCTTCAGCTCTTCAGCTTAAGACTAGTGCTCTACCACTTCAGCCACAATGCCACTTCTGGTTTTTTTCTGCTTATGTGGTGCTGAGGAATCGAACCCACGGCCTCATGCATGCAAGGCAAGCACTTTACCACTGAGCCATCTTCCCGGCCCTATCAGAGCATTTTTTTGTAAAATGTTTTGAAAGTTGCTAGTGAAGTTACAGGGTTTTGTAGTTGCACCTTTGGGTTACGCTGCTTAGTAAAAGGAATGCTAATTGAATGTATGTCTTCTAACCATCAGTGGGTTCATTTGTAATCCTCAGTATTTGTGAATAAAGTCTTTCAAATAGAATTAAAATAAATGATTGGTTTCAGTTTTTAGTGTGGATCCTTATATAGTAAGCCCAGTATGGCCTTACTATATAAAAATCTGGATAAAACCCTGCAATTCTTTTTTTTTTTTTTGCCAAACGTGGGACCTGAACTCTGGGCCTGGGCACTGTCCATCAGCTCTTCAGCTCAAGGCTAGCACTCTACCACTTGAGCCA